TAATTATTCTTTTGGTTCATTTGTATACTGTGGAAGTGCTTTCTTAATAAGACTAGATGCTCTCTCTGCATCAAGGTTTCCTAAGCACTCTACCACCAGCTCCTTTAGAGGAATATATATTATCAACAAATAGAAAAATCCGTAGCTTACAAAGACAGATTTCTCTGGCCCCATCTGCTTTGTCCACTGACTGAGTACTACAGACCCAGTGACAGAAAACTGTACACCCACGAGAGGCATTTGGTGGGGAGAAGCAGAAAGAGCTATTCTTTAACTTTGCCAGTAGACAATAAAAAAGCTCCAAATCATTCTATTTGTCCCAACTGCGAATGATTTCTTCCCACAAGATTTCACACTGTGGTTTTATAATGCAGAGAATCAGTATGAAGCCATGAAGCTCAGAATCTATAAGCCACGCTGACAGTTTATGAGAGTTTGCACTCATAAACTGTCAGCTTTATGTCAGCTTTAAACTTTCTCAGTTTTCCCCCACTGCAGGGGGGAAAGAGAAACTCAAAAAAAAAAAAAAAAAAAAAAAAAAAAAAAAAAAAAAAACACACTTGCCAGAGGTGCTGAGCTCCAGGGAAACTAAGGAAAATGGGAGGTGCTCAGATCTGAAAGCCAACCTAGAAATTTCACTAAGATATCTTACTCTGATTTCCCAATGTAATTAACTTTAAACCTTGGGGGTAGTCTAGAGAGCATTGGAGCATTGAAGTGTCCGAGTGTGTTTTGGAGTGGAAACTGAAAAAAACTATGTTATCCGCCTGGCTGTGGTAGCCTTATATTTGTAAGGAGATTGTGGGTCCTCAGCATGCACCACAGGGGTGCTAAGTTATGCCATGCATCATGTCTAACCCTGTACAAAGCAGGAGAAAAACAGGAAAGAAGAAAGCAGGACACATCTGCCTTTAAGGTCGAGGCTACACAGGAGGGTCTGGGCATGCTCTGTATAAAACCCAGGTCTTACTTTCTACAGGACCTCCTGCCTTGTCCCAGTGGTAAGTCAAGCCTTAACGTTTTGGTTTTAGTCCTTTCTAAGAAAGGTTATGCATAGTGAAAGTTAGCTGTTTAGGTGGGGAATGCTGCTATATTGCAATAGTTGAGTTTAACGTTTTTCTGTCGCTGTTTTCTGGGGCAGAAAGAGATTTGTTGTTGTTGTGTGTTGTTGCTTCTCCTTTATGTTTTTGATGTGAACGTGGGAAAGGGAAAAAGGTAATAAAGAGTAGAAAGTATGTGGTTAGAATGAGATAGTGGGAGCTGCAATGCCTTGCTTTCCTTTGGCTTCCCCCCTGGCTCAAGGGTGCTGAGCTGAGCAGGGACCCTCAGCAGTGTTGATGGACTAAAGCTTGTGAAAGCCAAAAGCTATGCTAGCTAGTTTTACTTTGTTTTATTTTTTAAATGCAAAGCTTAACATTCCAAGGGAGTTGTGTTATTTGGTGCTCTGGTGTTACTTGCTGTGTGGGCACAGCTAATGCTGCTTTCCCTGCCAGTTTGCAGAGTCCTCACTCCTCAGTGTGATGGCAAACTGAATCAGCTGGGGTACAGCCCCACTGTGATGGGGAAACGATCTTCAAATCAACAGTGTTCAAATCAACAGGGTGAATCTGGCAAAGTGCTTTCACCTGGAGTCTAGGCTGTGACTCCTTCAGCTCCTGCAGGATAAGCAAAGTAGGGCTGGGCTAGGCCGCAGCAGGAGGCTACCCTGGGAGCTAGTGGCTGAGGAGCAGTGCCACAGCACGGTGCCAGCAAACCCTGTGCTCTTGGTGAGATTATGTCCCTCAGAGAAGATTTAAACTGCTATTTCTTTTAATTAAAGATACCTTGGTGACCTCTAAAGGAGAAGGTTCATGAGTGTGATGTCCTGTTCAGCTCCCAGCTTAATGGGGGCTATAAATCCCTCTGCAGTTCCACCTTAGTGTGCTTATAGCTTGTGGCAAGCTGCCTGCTGACTACTTCAGCCGTTAATGCAGTGAATTAAGTGTATAGTTTGTGGATTTAAAGCAGAGGGCGGGCCTGACAGGACTTACCAGGGTGCTTTGTCCTGTCACAGTCAGTGTTTTGGTACAGCAGGCTGTGTTTAGCAGCGCTATCTCCTGTGATGCGCTTTGGTATGAGTGGCTGCGGGTGAAAGGGGTGTTGTTTAAGTGTCTGTTAATAAAATAAAAAAAAAAAAAACAGCAGCTGGTAGGAACAATTTAAACAATGCAAAGTCATGCTCTCTTGTGATTAACTTCAGGCACTCAGGGATTATTTTACTGAAGCTGAGGGCTTGCTGATGTGGGGAAAGGCAATTAATTGGAGTAGTGAAATTTGTGCATAGATCTTGCTCAGTCTTCAGCTGTTTTTTTGTAGTTGGAGAACAAATTTGTTTACTTTGGTAAACTGGTAGAGGCTATTCAACTATCTTAAAGCCTGTTCGTTAAGGTAAATAACACCAAGTTTAGAGTTTGGTAACATCACAGGGAAGGAAACAGTGTGGTTTGTATACAGAGAGGGTTGAAGGAGTCTCAAATCTTGCTTCTGTGAAAGCATTAACCAGGGAGCTTCTTTTGTTTGATATGGGGAAATGTGTCTTTTGGCCATCAGGTAAAACCTGACGAGCTTTTTTAGAAATGGTATGCTAGGAGCTTGGCTGGGGTACAGGTATGAAAATGACACAGCTGGAAAATCTTTCTCCAGAGAAGACTGGAGTTGGGTTTAGTACAGGGACACATCAGCTGTGTCCTTTGGTGGTGTGATACAACACCCTGAAAGCTTCAGAGGTGCAGAATAAGAAGCTTTCTGGCTCTATCACCCTGTGCAGCTAGTGTCTCCCTCCTCTCCTGTGCTGTGGGGAGTGCTAGGTTGGGGTAGGTGTGTGAGAAGCAACTTCTGTTTTGCTGCCACGTGGGGCTGCAAAGGGAGCAGAGCTGAACTGGTTGCTTGGTCTTCTTGTGACCTAGGACTTTGTGCAGCTGTGAACCAGAGCTGGGACATGTCATGGCATGCAGCAACCTCATTGCTCAGAGGATTTTCAGAAGAACGAAGATCTCTGAGGACGGTCTCTCATGAAAACTTTATTTTTTTGGTGAAATTGGTTCCTGTGCAAGTAATAGTGAGCTGGTGTGGCTGGCTGTTGTCAGTACCTTGGGAATGAGTTCCTAAAAAGTGTTTGTTAGTGTTTAAGTCAAGGCCACTTGCGATAAGTGGCAGAGCAGCTGTGGGTCTTCACCTGAGGCCAACCTGTCCTGTTGCTCTCCTCCAAAGCTTGTTATAGCACGGCTGCTCAGCTTATATAGCAGGCTTTAGGCTAGATCTGTTTGTCTGGGTTTCTATATGGCACTCCTGAAAGTGCCTTACCAGACTGAAAGCCTGAAAGGAGTAATTTCTGGTACTTTGTGGGATAACTGCTGCTCTCGGAGGACTCGTGATTATTTATTCACATTTAGCGTGGGTATGTGCTCACATCAGGGAGATAGAGATATTAGCTTTGGTACTTTTGATATTTTTTTCCCCTCTGGATGTTTTAAAAGGTGGTGTTTGTATTTAAAAGAGGAAAAAAAAGATGAGCAACCTCCAAAGTGATACTTTCACCTATTTTTAAGGCACGCTCAGCTGTGATCTGGGGGCTGAAACCACTTGATTTCTGTTAGTTTTCTTAAGCTATCTGCCCTTTTCAGGCAACATGCAGTTTGTGAGCAGCAGCAGTGAGGAAAACCCAGCTTTTTGCAGACCCGAGTCGTTCTCAAAACATGAGAGGCCTTTTAAATTCACTAAAGAGCTAGATTGCTCCTCTGACAGCCGTCAGTAATAGATGCTTCAGGAAAAAAGTAGAGCAAAAGAACAACTGTAGTTCATTCATTCATCCATCTGAAACACTTTATTAATTTTGGCAGCTTAATAAGTTAGGGTCTTCCCTGCAATTTGTTTAGACTGTTGTGCTAAACAGCACCAAAATGTGCCAAAACAAATGTTAGTCTAATTCTCCTTGGAATCCATTTATAGTCTTGGCTCCTGTCACAGCTGCTCCTCTGGCAGGGACTACTGCTGTTTACTAGCATTGTGGTGAAACAACCCTTATATGAAAATCTTGTGGGGTACCCCCATCTTTGCAGGAGGAAAAGCGATCACCTGACCCATGCTTTAATTAAGCTGAACTGAGAGTTTTTTGTCAAGTGCAAATATATTCGAGAAATTCCCCCTCGTGTCCCTGCAGCCGTTGAGTATTTTGACCCGGGCATAAAAGCTGCTGCGTTTCAATTTAGAAATGGGCCAGTGGGATGAGAATGTGCAGCTGTGGAAGGCGCGAGTGCTCCGGCTTCGTCACCGCTCCTCTTGGGCCCACCTATTTCTGTGAGGCTTGCGGGAGCTTAAGGGGATAAAAATGGCCAAGGTAATTAGCAGATCTGGCAGAAATCAGCCGAGTGGGTTCAGAAATGATTGGAGGTGAAAGGTGGTAGGGAAGCAGGCATATCCTGATGTGGTGGAACTTTGTTATATATTTTTTAAATATGGCAAATTTTCAGATTTTTTTTTTTAAAGAATATTTGTTTTAGTCCAAGACCTCTGCTGCAGTGGCTAGGTGTAGGTGAAGTCACTAAATGATTTAAGGTACTGACAGATTTAAGGTACTACAGATAGCTGGGCAGAAGGGAGTTGTGCACCACTGAAGTGCTTTACCTGCTGCCCAAAAGTCCCTGCTCTAGGTGAAAAGCTCATGTTTCAGGAACAAAATGGAGGTGTTTTCCCCCTCTTCGGGATTCCTTATGATTCAGCATCCCAGTAGACGCAGAGGTATTTAACTTATTGAGAAGGGTGGCCAGATTCTCTGCTGTCTAAATACAGCATCTGCAGCAGTGTGGAATGTGCATTGTACAGCTGTGAATGTCCCAGGCATTCAGCGTGTCTCCTTTTTCACACAATAGCTTCTATTTATGGGTTTTCATCGAGTTGGTCTCATGCATTCAACATATCTTTGTGTGTTTTTTCCTTTTTTTTTTCATTATTTATTTTGTAAGGTTTGTAGAAACTCCGAGCCACTTCTCCTGGAAGGAGAGTTACTACCGATCGGCCATGTCCCAGAGCTCGCAGCCCAGGGAGTTCCTCAGCCCAGAGGTGATCCAGCATATCTGGGACTTCCTGGAGCAGTAAGTAATCCTTCGGTGGAACCTGTGGAAGAAAGCATTTTGGGACGGGACGCTTGTGCAGTTAGGTTGCTCAGGGAACTGACGTTGGGGATTTCAGAGTCCTGTGTACCTGTCACTTAGAAGATGTGGGTGTGAGTCCAAGTGACAGCTCTTGAGCTGTGAAGAGGTTCTTTATCTGGGTTATGAGGAACAGATTGCAGGGATCATTCTTGACACTGACTTTCTTTGAGACTTTTGGTTATTGTGGCAACTGCTTTCCAGCATATGACCACATAAGCTGGATAGGTGACATTTTTCCCCCTCGGGAAATGGGGTAATGACTCTATTTCTTGATGTCCTGGCAGCAAGTTTCCTCCTTCCTCATGCCAGGAAGAGAGAAGAGGTGATGGTGCACAGTTCAGTGTCAGGTCCTTTGAAGGAAATAAACCCAACCCTGTTCCCATTCCTGACTTGCCATGACTTATACTGAGACAGTTACTGCTATAAATCCTCCCTGAGTTCTGTCTTTCAGTGATTTAACTCCATCAGACTTGCCTCATTTTTCTAGTCAAGCAAATAAAACATCCCTCCAGGCCCAGTCCTGCTCAGGGACTGCCACGGGCATGGTGAGTGGGTGCTCATTAGGAATCTCTTGCTTTGTCTTGAGACTGGGTCTTGATTGTGCCTAAATCCTGGGGGACGCCCTGGCACGTGGTTAGTTGGAGGGGACAGGATTTGGCCTGTTTTAACTGGGTTACTCTGTTTCTTTCAGGCCAATATGCTCAGTTCAGCCAATTGATTTGAACTTCATTGATGACCCGTCTGAAAATGGCCCTACAAATAAAATAGAAATCAGCATGGATTGTGTCCGGCTGCAGGATACGGAGCTGAGTGACCCGATGTGGGTGAGTAGAGAGAAGGATTTCTTTAACCTTTGGAGAAAGATGAGGGGTTTCAGTAGAAACCCTTCCTGATGTGTTTCCCTGAGGATCTTTTACCCTTCTGGGTGGAGCTGTGGCTGCTCTGGCTGCTCTCTATGATTGAGGAAGTTCCTTCTTGCTCTGCCTGTTGTGTCTCACCCATGAAAGCTGGTTGGGAGCGTGGTGCCACAGGCAACTGGTGGTGAACTGCAGTGCCAATACTTGTGGCTAACTGGGACTGGGAGAGACCCATGGAAAGGCTCCTCTGTGCCTCCCCAGGGCTGCAGCAGACCAGCTCTTCTCCTGCTAAAGCAAAGGCAGCAGAGAGGGATGAGGTGGTGAAACAGGTGGAATTGCTGAGGAGTCTCCTGTGCTTGTTTTTGGCTGCTTGGCTCTTCCTGCTGTCTCCTTGCTTAGGGCTTGTTTATGTGGCCTGAGGGTTAAAATAGTTGTTTTGAGTACTGTTGCATTTCTGCTGACCAAGCGGTGAGACTCAAGGATGTTCTTAACTGACTTGTTTTTCACTTGTATCTGGCCTTCAAGAGAAGACTTGGTTTCAGACCCTAATTGTTTTTTTAGATTTGTGTCTCCAGATGGGCAGCGCTAGTGAGCATTTGTAACTAGTCTTGGCTGTGGGTGTCTCACCAGTGTGCTTTGAGACTGGAATGCAGATGAGGCACTGGTGGTTGCTGGTTCATGTCAGTTTGTGCCAAAGGCAGAGCTCTTCTTACCAGTAGCTCCGGTGAAGAAGCCAGGTGCTGTTCTTGCAGGCAGGAGCAGGAGGTCTTTCACTAGTTTGAGCTGTTAGTTTCTGTTCTTCCTGAGTCTTGTTTACTTTTTGGTATAAATCCTGTGTACTTTGAAGTTTATGTTAGTGTTTGTATGTTTTCTTGTGCCTCTGTATTTCTGTCCTGAGAAACTTAATTCCTTGACTAATAGAAAAACATCTCTTACGTGCTCAACCATGGCATGTTTGCAGCAGAGGTGTTGGTTGGCAGTGCTGGTAACCCCGAGGCTTGCATCTGCAGTGAAAGGGTTCCCAAGTCATGCTGATGGCAGTCCCTGGTGCCAGAACACTGCCTGGCTGATGTGGCTGCTGAAAAATGGCACAGGATGGGGTAGCATGTTCCTCTTTGCTCGCAGTATTGTGGAGGGTGGAAAGACCATGTTGAGGTTGGGTATCTGCTTGGCTAATGTGGTGAAGCCATTCCAAGTGCACAGAGAGGTGACAAATGTCAAGTCTGGTCATCTTTTGGTTCAGGGTGGGCTCAGAGGGGCAGCGCTGTGTGCGTGCAAGCCTTCAGTCTGAGTCTGGAAGGGCACTTCTTGGCTTTCCCCAGTGCTGTAGCACAGCTCTAGTAAAATGGTGTCTGCTTCAGTAGCTAGTCCAGAAGGTTCCCCATGTTTTGAGGGTACCTACTTCTCAAAATGGGTGGCTTTAGCTAATTATTCTCCCTTAGAAAGCAATCCCCGATAGTTTATAAGCTGCCAACAGAAGGTTTGCTCCTTCCATACCTGGACTTGCTGCATTGAGTGCTAGCAAAGCCTTTGCATTTCCAGCTCCTCCAAGCTGTCAGCAGAGTGCTGCAGTAGCTGGCAGGCTCGCCTGAAGCCCTTGTTCAGAGTCTCCCTCTCCTGTCTGTGGTGCAGTGAAACATCAGTGGGAAATCCCTTCCTCTTGTCCTCTCTGACCACTGCTGAACTGAGCACTGGGGTCAGAAGAGGAAGGCAGGCAGCTTTTGCTGTGAAATTATTTCTTGCTTATGATGGCTTTAATCCCAGCCTTGCAGGAGGCATCTCTGGAGAGGCCAAATTGCATGGTGACATCTTTAAGGAGTGTTTTTCACTGTCTTGATCAGCCAAAGGGGAAGCAGGGAATATTCCTTCCCATCCTTACACTTACTGTAAGGCAGCAGCTCAGAGCTGCTTGAGCCTGAGTGTCCCCATGTTCATTAACAAATGTTCCACTTTGCCTTCACGGGAAGACAGCACCTTCACTCAGTTGAGAGCTGCACAAAAGCCTTTACAAAGCAAAATATGCATCACAAACCTGTGCAAACAGCCCGTCTCTTAAAAGGAGGAAAGCTCTTTTTACTCCCCTTACCACCACCACCACCTCCCTATAAATTTGCAAACATCCCTGACAGGTGACAACTCCCCCTTGCAGAGCAGTCTGTGTTTGCTTTGCTGTTTCTGGGGCTCGCAGCCTCTGCAGCTTGCACTGGCAGGGAATGTGTAGCCTGGGGCAAGGTGTTTGCTGTTTGTCGTCTTTAATCTGAAATACCTTACAACCCTCTTCCCCTCCAGCTTCTCTTTTCCTTTGGATAGCTGCGGGGCAAGAGCTCCCCTTGCACCTGTCTCTCCTGTAACCTCAGCCGTGTCACTCCTAGACACGAGGTGCCGCACGCAGCTGATTGCAGCAAAGAGTTGAAGAGGGCAGATAAACACAAAGGAATGCAGCAGAAACAGAGGGGCCCTGAGAGATGAACAGTGAGATCAAGGCAGACTGATTTTTATTATTAGACTAGTCTTAGGAAAAGAGCGAGGCAAGCTTTTGTCCAAAATGTACCACCATCTGAGGTTTAAAGAGATGCACAGCAAATAAGACTCATTTATTCGCAGCAATTGTCCTTCCATGGACTTGAAGGCAATCCCACCAGGGTTTAAAATAAGTTTTGCACCTACACTCAATTTATGGCTGAAAAATGAAGTTTTCAGCCTTAAAAGATGTCCACTCTCGATCCCAGGAGTCTTTCTGCTGGGAGCTGTGGTTGTTGTTGTTTGCTTGTTTTGGTATTGCTCACAACAGAAGTGTCAGGGGGGAAATGAGCTTCAGTGTTCGAAGCGGTGCCTGAAGAAGCTGTCCCACTGGTGGGCTGGAAAATGAGCATGGATCCTTCCCTGCTGAACACCCTGTGGTTGTGTTCGTTGCCTTGCAAGTGCAGTGAGGAGGTTGGGTGACAAAGAAACCCCTCTTGTCTGAGCTACGGCTCTGTCTCTGGATGAACCACAACCTTGCCGTTCTCATGCTCCTGTTTGCAAGGAAGAAATATCCTTCCTGCGTCCCGTGGAAGAAAGGAGTAAGAGAAATTGGTGACTGGCACTACCTTGGGATGAAAAGAGCTGGAGGGGGACAGGAAGAAGGTTTGTAGGTCTGGTGTGAAATTAGACAGTCAGCAGCCTTCCCCTGGTCGTGTGATTTGTGACCAGCTCTTTCACAATGTCCTGCACAGCTGGTTTCTGGCTGGCCTGGCTGCTGGCTGTGCCCCTTTTTGCTCCTGTGGCCTTAACCACAGGCAGGCTGGGAAGCCCCAGCAGAGATCTGCCTCTTCACGTAGCGGGGACGAGAGGCTGGTGGTCCCTGCGGGCACGGAGAGCGCTTAGTCTGTGCCATGGCCCTGGTGTGGGAGGGAGCTGCGGATGCCCAGGAAGGTAAGTTGGATGTGCATCCTCGTGGCCACCTGCTCTTTGTAGGGTTTCACCCCCAAAATGCTCCCCTGGCCAGCTGCCTGTGTTGCAGGGGGACGCTGCTCCTCACGCCTGGAGGCACGCTGGTCTCTGAGGCCGTCTCCTGTGGCTCTAGGAGCCAGGTGATGTTGTATGAAAAATTGATTTCTTCTGACTGATTAAGCACCCTGGAGCTACGGGGAGGAGGGGGCTGGGGACCTCTGTCGAGGAACGGGCGTGTGGCAGTGCAATAACCCCTGCGCTGCCCTGCAGCCCTCCCGGCGTGCTGTCAGCCTGCCATAAAATCGTTTTCCTTCACCCCTCGGAATTCCTTTCAAATAGCTCCCCGGTGCTAGTCGGGACCCAAACAAAGGTGGCCCGGGCTAAGAACTTTAGCGGGTGGCATCCTGAAAAGGCATCACTGGAGGGGCTTGCAGAGCCTGGAAATCTCCTGGTCTGCTGCCTCTGGCCCAGCAGCGTGTTGGGGGCTCTGGGGACCCTGAGGGCCTTCCCGGGTGGGAGCAGGCACGCTGTCCCGAGTAATGGAGTGGGTCGGCCCCCTCCCCCAGGTACATACCTTCCTTTCATGCCCCTGAGCGAGCCGTCCCTGCAGCCCCTTGCCTAACCAGTTCAGTGGAATGCCTTTTTGCAGACAGTCAGCTCTGGTCAGGGTTTTCTTAACCTGTATCTGTCCCTCCCCACAAAAGGGAGAGAATTCCTGGCTTTTTTTTGTCCTTCCTCACCTTCTGTTGTCGCGGGTGTTTGCTTTGGGTGGGCACCACCACACTGCCTGTCCCACCGAGCTCCCACCTTGGGGTGGTGGTGTGGGTACCTCGGGCAGGGCAGCGTCCTCCTGGGATTCAGGCCCCAGCTTTGTGGGCTGGGGGTGTCCCTGTCCTGGTGGCCAGAGAAGTTTGGGAGGTGCAGTGTGTATTTTGTGTTTAAGTCACAACTTTAGCTCTGCTTCCCAGACCGATGTTCTCCTTTATACAGGGAGGTGGAGGAAAAAATAGGCTGTGGGAGAAGCTGGCTGCAGCCTCTGAACATGGAACCGTTGATGCTCTCAGTCCTTGCACCAGAAACAGGTCTCAGATTTGGTATTCAGTACTTCCTCCTGGGGAAGGAGACCTTTCATAGCAGGTTGAAGATGTCTGGGGGCAATCAGGGGAGCCACCCCAGTCACCTTGTGCACCAGCCCATGCAGCTGGAGAAGAGTGGGGCTGAGGCCCTTGGGTAGCAGGTCACTGTCCTCTGCACGCCTTCAACCTTAGCATTGTGTAAATCAGTTCAGTAATTCATATTTGGAGGCCATGCACTAAATTCCTGTGTCCCAAGGAGCCTACTGCTTGTTCAGGATAAGTCAGGATCAAGCTTTGCTGAGCAAGAAGGTGATGGACAGGCATTTTAAAAAAAAAAAAAAAGCTCTCCAAAAGGGTTTGCCATGCCTGTCCTATCCAGAGCTTTAATACTAAAGGGCAGGCTCTCATCTCTGTTAATTTAGTTGCTCACTTAAGTGTTTTGCTGGGTCAGGAGAAGAG